AATGTACAAATGTGCTTTACACAATTGATGTATATATGGGTTGTGATAAGAGTTGTATGAGCCCCTAATAAAATGATTTAAAAAAAAAGAAAATAAGAGTTTCTTAAAGTTGTCAAATGTCTCCATTCCAGGGTCAGTGACAACATGGGTTCAATTTCACAACCCTAAGCCATTTGTTCAGGCCAGGAGATTCATTCTCTTCCCAACCTTCAGATTTTACATGCTCACTGGACCTCCACAACTCCAAGTCTAGGTCAAAAGCAGCCCAGGCCTGAGAGAGAGAGGGGGGACAGGGGAGAAAGGAGATAGAAGAAAGTGTTCCCATCCTCCATTCTAACAGCCACCCAGAAATAACTTAATTTCAGAATGGTTGACCATTGGAATGTGCATTTGCTTCAGAGACAACCCACCCCTAGCGATGAGACTGCAGCTGAACTTTCCCAGGGTAACTCTGGAGACTGAGAGCAACACATTTTCCAAAGCCTGTGCTCTGTAACTTGTCGCAGTTGCTGAAACACCAATAGCCCACGGGCGATGACGTGATTGGGCCAAAATCAGTGCTATTCTGTAATAGGCAGAATGATGCATCCCCAAAGATGCCCAGGCCCTGATGGCCAGAACTCATGGATGTTACATGACATGGCACAATGAGCATCATAGATGCAATTAAATTCAGGGCTTGGAGTTAGAGAAATCCTGTATTATTTAGGAAGGCCCAATGGAATCACACGAGTCCTTAAAAACTTCCCAAGTTGATGAAAAAATGGAGATGAGATTATAGAAAACATGGAATTACCAACCCTGAAAGTGGAAGAAGGCGGACTTTGGATAAAATATGCTGACAGTCGATAAATAAAAATGAAAAAAATACAAACTCACTGACATAAAGTTGATGCTGACTCAGTGACCTTATAGGACAAGGTAGAACTACACCTGTGTAACTCTTTAAGGGAGCCTCAGCTAGTGGTTTTGAACTGTTGACCTTGTAGTTAGCAGCCCAACTCAGAACCACTATGCCACCAAGTCTCCTAGGCAGCCTATAGAATGTGGAAAAGCTAACAAAAGGATTGATCCATAGATCTCTAGGAAGGAGGTGGCTATGCCTGCACCTTGATTTTCACCCAGTCAATTCTGGATTGAATGTTGATTCACAGAAGTATAAGTACACTCTTGTTGAAAGCTACTACATTGGTAACCATTTGTTATGAAAACAAATACTTAATCTTTTCTCAGTCTCTTCTCATCCAGAGTACAAATGTGGAGGAGCAATCTCACTGCTAATGTTGTCATGGCTGGATGACATCAATTTGATTTGGAATCATAGTAGTGACAAAGCGTAGAGCGGCCCCACAGGATTTCCTGGGCTGTAATCTGCTTACCAGGTTTGCACCCTCCATGGAGTTGCTGGGTAGCTTTTACCTGCCAGCCTTTCTGTAATTAGCGAAGAGCTTAGCTGTTTTACACTAAAGCTCCCTAATGGGAAACTAATGCTTAATCCTTCGTCTAGAGTGTGAAAGAATAACTGACTCACCTAGGCATACCTTTTTACACTTGTAATAAGGGGTTCATCTTAAATATGGTTCTTGGATAAATGGAAGATTCAAGAAAATGATCTGAAACATTAAATAAGTTTGAAATCATAGAGGGAAAAAAAACCCAAAATAGTAAACTTCCAGGACCTTCTTGATATATTCTTTGTGTTGTCCTCCATTTTTAATAGATATTTACTCTCTTTCCATGAGGCAATCTTTGTTCCTAGCCATCTGACTTGGAATGGCATTAATCAGGACTGGGCACTCTGACTTCACTGAAAGCTGCATGTATGGCTTCTTAAGCTATTAGGCACCCAGCAACTGCAGAATGCTCCAAGTGATAGAGCACGGAGGATGGGGTGGGGTGGCATTGCCATAAAGACTGGAAGAGAAGTGGTTCTCCCCTAGACCAGAATTGGTACTAAAGGTTAACCTCAAGGGGGTTAACCTCAGATTTATTTGAGTTTCTTTCTTTCTTTCTTTGTTTCTTGAATTAGTTGTCATATGTTCAACTGGTTCCAATTTTATTTCATGAATGATACTTAGCTCTGTGAGTCCCAAATTCTGGCACCTCAAG